CACAAACTGAGAGAAAATGTTTCCTAACATGTCAATGCTAACAAAAAATCCCTATTAATCCAACATTTTTATCTTTAATTTAGATGGATAAGATGAACTATGTATACAGTGGATTGCTCGATGTAATTTACAAAGCGTTTGAAATAACCAAAGAAAAGGAGGCAGTCACGATAGATGGATTGCTTACCACTCTTCAGCAACTAAGACGAACCGTCGATAGGCAATTTTTGATACATGTTACRAGAGCACAAGACATTTTAGAAAAAGTCAAAAGTATATGCGTTGGCAAAATGAAGAAAAAAACCTTTTTTAAATGGTATGATAAAACCATTTCTCCATATGTAAAAAAGGTAAGAGCGTATAGCTAAATCCTTGGAAGAAAAGAAAGCGTTTAAAAATCACACGCCTCCGGTTTGTGATTCGTAAACTTTTCTCGTGTTACTCCCAACATCCTGCGTTCTCTATTTCACCGGTAGAGTCCYATAACTTAGCTATTTGCTCAATTATAACATAACCAAGATGTAACGCACGCTTTGATTGGTAAATAATCCCATTTCAAGTTCGCCTTTGCCCAGTCTTATTCTTTTCCTCTATTAAGGTCCATTGTATAGTAAGGAATGTACGTACTACGGAACAATGCGAGTTGATTAAAATGCCACGGGTTTTGGTTGAATAGCTGAATATTATAACACACAGACAAGACTAAGGCTGAGCAAAGAGAACYCGAAACTGGAGTATTAGTGTGCAAGCGTTCATTCAAAACTCGATGTAACAGTTTTTCGAAATTTTCTAGATTAGCCGAGATTATTTCATGGTTTTACTATGTTATAAAAGTATTGGCCATCGATTAGTGTGCTTCCATCGAGTTACGGGGGTGTTCTGTGTTTTGAAATATATATCGAGTGAATATTTAATGATGAATGATAAATGTGGTCGGATGACGATAGTGGTGATTGTGGTGGTAATAATGATGATGATGATGATCTGGATAATGGTGATGATGGTGATGATGATGATGATGATGATG